GTCCCTCTATAATTTTAAGAGCCAGAGAACATAAATCAGGTGTCAAAGAAAGATGACTGAAACATTAAATTTAAAATGGCTTTTTTCCATGCTTATTATAGTCTTTTCCTGCATAGGTATGCAATTGCATTTTTTTTGCTTAGATCTGATGCTCCTTTTTTTACTAAGCTAGAGATGCTTTTGTAAAGATCATTAATCACCTTGTTCTAAACAAATCAAAGGCTCATCTTTAATTTAAAGCTTTGAGCAGAATCTTTCAGTGTTGAAACTACAAGCAAATTCCCTGCAATTGTGAATCTTCCTAATTATATTTCTCTAAATGTAAATATTGCTCTCAATACCTTTCAGTAGCATTTTCTTCCAAGGTTTAATTCAGTCACTTTTCTCTTCTATTTAAGGGTTCTCATATAATCTCTGAGCAACAAACATTCATCTCAAGCCTGAAAACATTTAAAGATTTTCTCATATGTCTGTCCTCAATCTAAAAATCTCTCTAGCGCTTCATTCTAGGCATCCCACATCAATACTGTGAATTTGTTTTCTGTTTCAAGCCTCATGCTTTCTCAATCAACCTTAGAAATTTTAACCACCTACCAAACTGAACTCCTCTCTTTTCTTACAACCACATGCAAACTAGCAAAGGTAAATTATGAGAAATTTATTTTAGAAAGGAATGTAACTAATGGCTACATGTGCTGGCATAAAAATACATCAAGACTTATTGATTGACTCTGCTACCATAGGTTAGCTCTGTAATATTATTACAGAAACACACTACTTCATTACCTGAAAAATCCAAGATCTGTTTGCATGCTGATTCTCCCTTCCTCTTCCTTTCAACATCTATCCTGCAAGAAATTGTAGGCCTCCCTTCACATTTCCCCCTCTTTTTTCTTCTTTTCTTTTTTTTTTTTTTAAAAAGGAAACAAAAGAGATATGAGGCAAAAAGAGGGGGAACTATACCTCCTCCTTTCACTAGATAGAAATTTCTATCCCAGATACAAAAAAGCCTTGTTCAATACATTTCTATTGTAACAAGCTTTTAACAGAAATGCACACGTAAACAGTAAAATATGCACACTGAACAGATGTTTCAGTTTCCCAACTCACAGATTCAGCTACAACCTAGCAAAATATTTCCAGCAGTTAACAAAAACGTTGTGCAAAAGTATCTGTGTGTGTGTGTGTGCACATCCATGTGCAAATATAGCATACAACAACTGAAATAATTAAAAGATGGGTTAGGCATCCAACAGGTAATAAATTGCAGAATTATGTGTAACCTTAATTCAGCCACCATTTTGTATGGATTCGGATGGTAATTCTTCCTACAAAGAAACCTCACATAATCAATGGGCCATCACTACATAATTATATTTAACCTCATTCAAGAACTCCTGAACAAGTGTTTTAACTGAACAGAAGGACTTGTCTTAACATTTCTATTCCATCATCTATAGTCAGAACTGTCATTTAGCATCCATTCATTTTGGGTGTCCACATAGAAACATCTCAAAATGTGATTTTACAGGGTACACAGACTATATTTCATATCTTATGTTCATGCCACATATTCAATCAGTTTCAGTAGGAGCAGTGTATATGCAAGACTTAGCTTCAGTTGTTTTGTCCACCCTCAAAGACTAGGAAAATGTACCAGGAAATCAGACTTTGAAGGTACCCAAGCTACTTAGAACCATTCAGCAACTCTGATAAGAGTCTTAAGTAAAACACATTTTAATCAGAAACCATCAAATTGCCTTAGACCATGAAGTCATAATCTTTTCTTTATGTTGTTCTCTGTTTCAGTCACTATACACATTTTAATCTCCAAAACAATGAGGCAGAAGTCCAGTGAGGTGTTTTTCTGTGCAACCTATCTCACCCATCAGACAGCAATTCTATGACTGTAGACTTTATAAAAGCTAACTTCTGAATGCTAGCCTGAAGCTGTAATATTATTTTAAACGTAGGAGGTTTAATGGGATTTCAGTTAAAACACTCAGCTGTGATAAAGGGACCTCACATGAATCTAGTTGGGACATTCAAAGAGAGATCTTCAGTTGGCTTGTATTGAACTTCACCACTTGAGCTCCTGGAATAACTTGTGCTCACGGTAATCATGAAACAATGGAGGATGAGGAGAAGTAAAACCTGTATTGCCAGTACGACTGACCAATACTGAGAGCAAAAGAATTGCAACTTCAGCTTCTGTCATCAGAGGCAAAAATATACAAGTTATTTTTCTGGTACTAACTTCTAAATTCCCTAAGCCAGGCACAAGCAAAAATGTACTTTTATGTCACAGTAAGCATTAACACCAGAAACAAGATGAAAATCCCATCTCTTTTCTCTCCCAAGTATGTGTAAGTAATATATACATGTAGATACACGTGACCTTATAAAACAAAAAATCAAATCTGATTTTTGGGTTATACGCTGCAGGTGAATTTTCAGTTCAAACCAGACTTGAATTTTTTTTTTTAAACCATTTAAACATAATTATATTGACTTTACTAGGGAAAAAAATCGTCCTGCTTCAAAAAAAGTTTATGATGACATCTAATGCACACAAAATGAGATATCAAATCATGAGCCACAGGTCAACAAATTAAATATTGCACATCTTATTAACCATCACCTGTATATTTCTTCCTTGTTATTATGAAACTACTCCTGCTATTGTGTCTATACAACTTTCAGGTACAGCATCAGCTGACTTTCTCAATAGTAAAGGCTGCGTCACTGCTTGCATACCAAACCAAACCTAAACTATATTATGCCACAGACTACAGCCAGGAAAGCGTTGAACAAACACAATGAAACACATTTAAGCCTTTTTTCTACAGGGAAAGAAGAGACGTTTAGCAGACATGGTCAATGTTATGAACAGATAATTGTTTTTTTCAGTACTGTATTTATTAAATACAATTTAATCAAACTTCTATTGATGAACAAAAAAACCCCATAAATAATATTTGTTTTGCTAGGGACTTTGTGCTTCAGCAAGAACAGGAAACTCTCCTATATGCACATATGTCTAAATCAATTTTATTTTTTACAATTAACTTCCTATGAACAGTTTATCTCAACCAAACAGTGACACTGCTGTTTCAGAAACAATATAATGAGGTCAGTTTCATCAAGGTAAATTCAGTTTAATTCAAACGCAACAGGGATTTAGCTTTGTCTTCATGCTGAGTGGTGGTTCACTTTGTGATACTACTTATTTCAATACATTTACATTGTTTATTAATGTGCTTCTGATGAGTGACGGTGATGAAATTGAAAATTTAACGTAAAAGCAATGGAAACTCCTTGAGGTGGCCATGTAATGAACCACCTGTGTGTAGCAGGAAGTACATCTTCTAAATCTATGCTCAGGCAATCATGTGATATACACGATTAGCATGCAAATACTTTCACATGGCAGGCTTTTTTGTCTTCCGCTTTTGAGGCAAATGCTTAGATTTAATGCTGGTCACATCAAAATTTGTCTCTGACCATGCCTCTACCCCCCAGATTTCTAAGCATCTCCAGGGCAACATAACAATTTAACAACTATTTCAGTTTTAGTGAAGTAACAGTGTTTACTTCAGTTACCTGAAACTACGGAGGGTAAAGTGAAGTTGCTACAACATAATGAGTCATTGAGAAAAAAACCATGCAAGATAAACCACAGAATTATGGAAAAATCATTGAAGTACTATCTTCAGAGCAAATCAAAGGCTGAATTTACTAAGCAACAGCTCAGCAGCAATAGAACTAATCAAAACCTGAGTTTTGGTGGATCTGTGTTTTGTAGATAAGCTTATCATATAGAGTATGTCACACCAGACCATAAAGGGAAAAACATAAGCTACAACCTTGACTGCAGTGAAATTATGTATTTGCTTCTGTGCAGCTTAGGGGTTCACCGCTCCCTCCCTGCAAACTGCAGAATTTTATTGTTGTAAGGACACTTTTTAAATTTGGTTGATATTGGCTAACTCACTAAAGTTACTTGAGGAGATGGACAAATTGGCAACACAATCACATAAAACCACTTTGCCCCACAAAACCAGACTTCAATTTGTATGGAATTATTACAGGCACATTTTAGCAGACCACTTTCAGCTCTTGGTTTTCCCACTCTATCTTACCAGGTGGTCATGTGCTTGAAGGACCAAAAACCTCTTTCTAAAACACCCAACTTTCCCTCTTTGGAAAAAACCCAAAACTTGATCTGATTTTTCCTTTTGCTTTTTTTGCTTACACACACATAATGCAACTGAAGTTACAGCTGTATCAAAGTAAAAGTGAAGCTAGGCTCCTGTAAATGATGGGAGAATTTATCTTAAACTAACAATTAAGAACATGAAACAAAATTTTCTCATGGCAACTACTGTGTGTTGATATTTCGTATCACAAACATAACTAATTTCAAATGGACAAAACAATGCAGTGTGTTTCCATAGAAACATGTTAGATGAGGATGTATACTGAATAGTGGTCTCAGCAAACGAGACTGCATTGCAGAAATGTGGCTTTGAAATATATTTCATGTACAACCAATATTGAAGCATTAGAACATGTTATTCCCTAATACACACACAGTAATACAAAATGAGAAATAGGAGAAGAGCTAATAGCAGATAGTTACATATAGAAAATAGAATAGTTATATGCTATAGGACTATCTTTTTGTGTCCATTCTTTAGGATTGCACTTACAGATAGCTTACAAGCTTCTTTAGCAAATTAAACCAATAATAGGAAAATCTAATGAGATTAAAATGCAGTAATAAATTTTACCCACAAGACTGGAGATCAGTGGTAGACTAATTTTTCTTTATTATTTCTTATATAGCAATCATACTAGCTGTATGAAACATTGCAAATTGCATCAATTATGGATAAACAGATTAAAAACTTCATAACTCATTAACAATCAGGATGTAATTTATCAGTATTTTACATTAGTGACTCCCTCACTTGACATAGAAATAAACAAGTACATACTCTGATCCAAAATCTCCTCCTCTTCGTTTTTGGCCTGCTGCAGCAAAGAAGTTTTATCAGAATCCTTGGTTTCTGAAAAATGGATTTAGGATATGATGTTAACCTCTGTGTGTGAATGGAATTGAGTATCTTCCTACTGGGGAAAAAAGCCCTTCTGAAATGAACATTTGGTATTTTTATCTATCTATAGTAGTTGTACCAAACAGTGCAGCCGTAAAACAATGGAAATAAAAATACAATTTGTACTTTGCTACACAGACATACCAGTCAGATTACTTCTGGATAATACTGCTGGTCCAACTTAATGTGCCTACTAGTGTTTAATATAAACATTTGACTCCCTCCATAACAAGGCAGTGGGATCCAGAAAGCTATTGAAATGTTATGATTCAACTTTGTAGGAATTAGAAGATAAAGCAAATATTAACAAACTGTTAACATAAAGTACTGATATTTGGCATAGAAACAGGATCAATCTTTTGGGTGCACAGCTCACGTAGCTATAAAAATGTGTTAGAAATTGAAAGACAATAATAGAAAGAGACAAAAGACTATGGCAGACATTTCCACCAAAACCAAGAGCAGAGTCCTGTGATGGTCTATAACTAGCAATTTGAACTTTATTCAGAATTGCATTTCCTTTTTATAAAAATATAGCATATCAAAGCAACACAGACAAACACATCAGTAAGCATAAAAAGACTTGAAAAAAACTGATTGCAATTTTTTTTTTTCACCTTCATGATGTCCATGCATCATCTTCAGCATATCAGACTTGACTGGAACAGGAATATTCGCTTCCGGTGGTATATTTCTGAACATGTCAGGGTTTGCATTCTGTGTGCACGTCATATATGAGACAGCATACTTGGCTTCCATATAGTACATAATGTAAAAATTACACATTTCATCATTGGCTGTTCCCCTACACAACACAGAAAAGATGTGGCAGTTAGGAAAAAATGAGCCGAATATAGCTATTATTCAATTAATCTAACTTGTTTAACAGAATGTTAAAAAGTTGGAATGAAATTTTTAGAAGTCCTACACTAAAATTTTTAATAGCTTCATTGCAGTGAATATCGAAAGTTTCTTTCAGTTTATACGAGAGAATATCAGTTTGCACAAACTCCCTGTGTATCTCAGAAATTCCTAACAATTTGGGTTTGATTTTACAGAAAATTGCATCAACTATTTAAACTGCTCTTCCTTCTCATTTCCTCGGTACACTCCTCATAGTCCCCAGTGTGCCATCAACTATGCAAATGTCAGGATGAAATGAGATAGAATTGTATCATTCATTACATCACCATTCATACACTTCTCTGTCAACGTAGGGCAAACCTAATTTAAAATCATTGCAAATAACGTCTAGGTTTCATTTTAGCAGCTTTTATGACAGGTTCCCCCCCCCGCCCCCATGTTCAAATGCATCCATTTATTGGCCAATCATACTGGTTCTAATGAAGCCAAACTTAATTTCATTACTTATTAAGACACTATAAATAGTTCATGGCCATCTTTAGAATAACTTCATCACAAGCTTCTGTAAGGAAAATGTTAAGTGCAAGAGGAATGATTAAACACTAGTATTTGAAACAGAAGAGGTCTTCTGTACTGCGACACAATCCTGTCTTCAATAGAAAAAAAAGCTGGTACAAGAAAGAATTTTAATGAAAAATACTACTTTGTGAAGCAGACAATACAGGTTGTCTTTGAAACTATGGTATGTTTCTGTTTTTTTTTTCTCTGCCATATAGGTTGGTATCCTTTATTTATAACTACAATCCTGACAACGGAATAAGTTCGGACTTACAAAGAAAGGTTCACAAAATAAAGGGGTGTACATTAAAATTTTTTAATTAGCTTTCACAATTAACCAGTGAGTCCACACTCATAAAAAGATACAGGGGTGGCCTATTAGCTGCTTGCAAAAGACGTCAGTGCTGAATTTCCAGCAGCATCGTGCAGCATTCATTTATTCACCATAGCAACAATAATGACATCAGCCAGAGGCGAGACAGGAGGAACACGGGAGGAGTCAGTTTCAAAAGCGGAATTGGTATTTTTCCATGCATTGAAAATTTAGCATCCCTTGGAGACCACAAAAAACAGAGTTTGACTTGGCAAGCTCTCCTTACACTTTTAGAAAGCATCAGCTTCACTGTTGGACTCCCCGTATTTGTCACTATAATTACCTCCTCTTTAAAACTCCAGTAGAAGAGGGAATGTGGAACCCACACATACGTTGGTTCACCTACCACATGTTACTGTGTATAAACTTTTCAACGTTAATAATTTTAAATATTTACAGCTTAAAAAAAAAAAAACAAAAAACCCCAAAAACCTGTCAACAACCGTCTTAGTAAATTTACAGAAAACCCAGAATATTTGAACTCCTGAGAACCCTGTTTTGTGAACAAGTTTAATGAGTAGAAATGCTGATGCACTATGAAAAAAAAAAAAATTTTAAAAATTCCTGTTAACCATCTTCACACCACTGACACAGAGATCCAGAACTGCATCTAGATCTTGGTATATTAGCAATACACAGTGAAGGATAATGAAACAGAAGATTTAGCATCAAAAAGCAAGATAATGCAGTTAAAGAATCATAGATACTGAGAGGGCACATTTTGCTACAGACACATAAATGTTCTCTTGAGTGGTACAATACCTGTTAAACATATTTTGAAAGGGAAAGATACAGGTTGCACTATTTTCTGTCTATTAAGAGTTTTAAACAATATATGACATTGCAACTGGAAAAACAAGCAGCCACCATGGCCAATGGCACTTTCTGTTACAAAGATACGATCTTTACACTGAATGGGCTATAGTTCTTTGATATCCTTTAGACTGGTAAGCTATATACTACTTGACACTATCAACTCTAATGTTTACTCTGAAACATCATTAAGTTATCTGTTATAAAATGCAGTGGCTGATTCCATGGAGTACTTACAGGTCAGTAGCAAAAATTAGAAGAAATCTTGCTTTATTTATAACTTAACAATAGTTTATGTTCTCCTTATTTGACAAAGGATATTTCAACCCTTTAATTTGCAAAAGTTTGAGCTGGAGGAGAAATCCAGCTAACTGAAACGGACAATTTATGAACCTTTTGAAGAGATGACTCCTGCCTCACGTCTTTAGACCAAAGACATTGTCTGTGCTCGTGTAATTACCCCAAAACTTGTATGTAGTCAATTGCACAAGCAAAATCAGGTTTCACTTCTGAACCTGGATTTGCCAAATTCTACACATTTAAGAGGCATGTCTGCATACCTAATTTAATTTCTCAGACTAGGAGAGGAAGCAGGATGAAAAAGGTTAGTGGGAACCATGGGGGTCATGAGATAATGTAAGATAATAGAAAGCAATTAATGTAACTAAAGAAAAACATTAAAAAAGCCCAAGACTAAATGTATGAAGAAGCAAATAGCACAGTAAGTAAGGGATAAAAACCAAAGAAGAACATCTATCCTCATTCCCAAGTTAGTTACTAAGTAATAGACTTGTCCAAAATAACACTTTATTCATATGAAAGGGACTAGTTGACTATCACAGAAATTATTACACAGTTAAGAAAGTATAACATTGAGAATAGATCATGTTTTAACTACAGTTAACATATATTATGAACAGTTAAGCTTTAACTGATCAGCTTTGGAAAGGTGAAATCGACAAAGTTTGTTTTAGCCCTGCCTTCTATGTATATTAAAGCTAAACCACATAAGAAATTTAAGATCTTTTTTTCAGCTAGTTTAAGGAAAAACAAAAACACAGGCAGAAAATTAAATATAGAGACTGGGAAAGTAAACATTCAGAATTGAACTGATCCTTTTCAGATATGTATTATTTCACAGCTTTCCTTTCATGTATGTATTTCCCATTTTTTTCAGTGTTGGTATTTGGAACTCAAAGGCTTTTTTAATGTTTCTTCTGGACTCAGGAGTCATTCTGAATAGGAGCAAGACAACTGCAACATCAGGGCAACATTTTCCAAGATTTAAACAATTATAATTGAATTTAGTTTAGCTGTGAATCTTTCCATATACCCAGCATTGTTGTGAATGCATTCCTTTTCATCCATTCATTTCATACTATGGTGATAATTATTTTCCAACCATATATACTTCGATATTATGCATCAGTTTTTGTGTAATAGTTTAAATGTTTGCTTAAAATGCTTAGGTGTGGTTTCTGATAATTCATAGGTAGAAATTATGTAATAAAAATTTAAAAGTCTGCTTGTTTCTTTAATTTCTGTTCCTATTACTTCCTCACTGAAAGCATATTAGTACAATGAAAGAAAACACTACAATTGTCCTAGGACAGTTCCTTAAACTGTAAGGATTATTCAACAAACAAGAACTACTTTGGGGAATGTTACAGAAACATGATAGAAACTTTTAGAACTTGTGAAGAAAAGGTCTACAGTTGAATTAAAGTAAATTTTGGATATATATTTGTTAGTGTTATTGCTTTTGTAAAAACCTCTTCTCAAACATTTTGCTTCACCTGCTACTCATCAGTATTTTTATTACCCACTACAAGGTCATAAATTTGTGTTGAATCCTTAACCCTCTACTGAGATGTACTCTTAGGGTGCTTAGTGCCCTAAAAAACTCATCCCTTGGGGGTGTTGCAGCATGTACAGACAGATTTCTGCAGGGTATCTTCATACTTCTACATATGCAGTAAATTACAGTTCAAAGAACGGGAGCCAATTAAGAGAATATTCATATTGCACCTATTTTTGCAGTTGTATTTGCCAACTTGATCTTACAGAGCTCTGTCATCTTCTGCTGAATAGCATCACTGACAAACACAGTTTAGATTTTCCTGTTTATCATTACTAGTCATTTTTCTTTTTTCTTTTAATAAAAGCTTGTATATTTTTATATTGAAAAAAAAGTAACTGGTACATTATTCTGAATTTTTAATTTTAGATGTTATGATAGGTCAAAAATTTATCAAAATTTTATTTCTTAAATAATGAAGAGAATTGTGAAGCGTTATTATTTTGTTTTAAACAGTCAGTAACTTCAGCTTATTAAAACCACGTATTTTAGCATTGATATTCTGAATCTTTCTCTAGTGCAACATCTGAGTTGCACTCAGAACAGCGCAGCATCTGAGTAAGGAATTTGGCAGCATAGCTTCACCTCACAAATGTTCTGAACACTTCAGCAAAGTGATTATTCACATAAGTAAAGGCAATGAACATTGTGTAGAGTTAAATCTTTAGCAGACTAGACAGTAAAACAGACCATTCTGGCAGAATTTAACAGTTTGTTAGAATTATCTTGGAAGAAGAAACGAAACAAATACATTTCTACACATAACCAATACTTTGCAAAAAATGGTTAGGAAATGGAGCAAAAAGAGAAAATTTACCCTATATGTGTCTCTGTAGTTCTGCCTTCACCACTGAACACACATCTAGCTGCTAGGATATCATCATAGCTAATATCTACAGGATGTTCTACTGGATAGAATGCCTGAAAGAGAGGATGACCCACCATAATTAGTGAAAGCGTCTCATATTATTTATGTCAATATACACACACAAGAGAATGACAGTGCTACGCATCTGAAAAGTCATTTTGGATAGGTTTTGCATCACAATGTCATCGTGATAATACTTGGCAGTATTCACTTCCAGTGGCACAACAACATGTACCACTGGAAACACCATGACGCGAATCTGTGGGTACATGACTAGCATTTCAGCTTCTCACTTTTAAATAAAGATAATTAAAATTTACAGCTAGAATTAAAAAAAAACAACCAACCTGTGGTAGTTGTGGACTCTGTCTACCAATCAACGTCCATTGACCATTTCTCACTCTGTATCCACTCACTACTTTACCTACAACATACCAATACTTATGTGAATATGAGAAATACTTCTAAAAAATATGTTGTAGTGTCAGCTTTTTTCTATTAAATATTTGATATTCCTATATTGCAATAAAACTCTTACCTAGTTTGTGTGTATGAACTCTGTAGGCAAAGAGGTGCATTGGAAACCTTTTGTAATGGCAGGCAATATCAGCATCAACCACTGTTAAAATTTGATGGCAATAAATAAAGAAAAACACAATATTTATCAGAGGAAAGTTCAGTATGAAAGCAGTTTACAAAAGGTACTACACTGGACAACAAACAATTTCAAAAGATACTGTGTAATATTTTATATTTCTGCAGTGTCTATCTCAAGACACCTGTAAAGAAAATCTAACAAAATACAGTACAAGTCACTTGAAAATTACTTTCTGTGATGATACAAAATGGGGCTGAAACTCAGTAGCATTTCTTCCAACATACACAACTGCTATTTAATGAAGTAATTTTAAATTACATTTGCTTACAGACTATGTTGAGGTACATTTAAAATAAACATAGCTATGGTAAATAGTCTACTCAGGAGAAAATGCAAATAAAGTTATCCAAATATAAACTGATACAATTTATAATGAAGACTTGATTTTAAGATCTTATAGTTCTATGCCCAGTCTTAAAGATTTAGGGTTAGATGCAGACTTTGACAGAGAAGTGCTGTACAGACAATGTCTGCAAGCTGGTACTTGTGATAGGTGCAGTAAGAGTAGCTAAGGAAGAGCCCACAGAGAGGTAAGCATCTGCCAATGCCTCTCTGAGACCTATCTGGGGACTGGCTGCATTGTAACAAACTTCATGCTTCACTTAAGGACTGCAAATCTGATTGAACATGAGAAGGCAGTTATCAACAGGCACTGAACTGTTTTTTATTCCCCCTTCCCTCACCCCTCCAGCTGAAAAAGTAAATTTCTGCATTGATCAAATATTAAGGGGGATTAATTTGATATGTTTTCACATTGAAAAGCAAAATATATTAAGTTTCAATTAAAATTTAAAAAAATTTCAAGCTGTTGAATTCACTGAACAGTTGCAGTCAGTTGAGCATTTGACCACCTCATCCTATTTAGGCAGCTATCTATAAATGGGAAAAATAGTGCTCTCGGTTACCTAATCTAAAATTCTGGTATAGCATAGGAAAACGTAAGATCAGTGTTCAAGTTCCTTAAAACAGAACATTCCATGCTAGCTTGAAGAAATGATATTGGGATTATCCAAGCTGAATTTCAGATAAAATCCACTGAGTAGGAATCTGAATAGAAATGGTTTGGAAACTTTCTTTTACAATGTTTTTCAGCATTTCTACCTTTTAACCAACTAGGAGCACAGGAAAAAATTTTTTAAAGAGCAGCTCCTTACTAGTAAAAATTCATTTATTAAAACTGAACTTTTAGTAAATCATAAATAGCATGAATGACAAATATAGATGAAGAATAAAAAAAAAAAATGTTTCTTTGAGGGGGTAGATAAGAAAACAGGGCTTTTTTGGTAAAATATAAAGACAAAATAAATCAAAGAAATACTCTTAAGAATACTAGAAACTTCAGTATTGCACAGAACATTATTGTTTTGTACAACATTGTTTTCTACAACATTGATTGCCTTTGCAGATGTAGTCATTGGGAAACATGATACAATTTTAAAATTGTAACTATTTTTTTCATCAGTTGCTTAATTAAGCAATTAATTTGTCCATCTACAATTCAGCAAGTGTCTGCTAAATTTTCTTCTACAATGAGCAGTAAAAATAACTCAGATGCTGAAATGATATAATCACTTGGTAGAATTACAACTCACCTTTCTCGCCTGGGGGTATTACAGTGTTCACAGACATCATAAGATACATTCCAGCAATCAAAGGCTGCCTGCAATTCGAAACACAAGCTCTGCTAAACAAGTCTGTTGTAAAAGCCGACTGCAAGTGACACGATATGGAAAAACATCTAACATCACTACTTTCTAAATGTTGGATTATGTCTGAAACTGGTCTACTGAGAAAGAAGTTGGTACATCACACTTCCTTTTCCCTCCTTTTTTTCATACTGAACCACAATTCTTAAAGCATCTTCTACAAACAATGTGAAATAGGACAAAACAATCATCTACATAATTGCTGTTCTTGTCCCAGATTTCTAAATATGAAGCTCTTAAGCTCAACCACCTCAGTACTGATAGCACCGTTTCATCAAGCCTCTTAGCAGAAACAAAAATTTTTGCCAACAGATGACACATGGCTTAAAAAAATCATAATATTGTGGAGTATGTATTATTTTTATATCACATGTTTTCAAAGGAATCTAAAGGAAGGTTTCCATGCCTTCTGTTTTGATGAAAACAATTATAATAGGTAAGCATTTTCAAAGATACTTACTTTTGATGCGTCATATGTAAAGTTACACCAGAACAGTCCTTGTGTTTATCTGTACAAATCACAAAACAGGTTAATCATTAGCAACTGAACCCATGTGAAATTATTGCACACTAGTAACATTCTTCTGCTGTATAAAAAAAACCCAGAAGACAAAATAAGTTTTAATCTTACTGTTTGCAGTAAAACGTTCATACTATGGAAACATTACTCAAATTTGCACAAACCTGAACATCACAGTGCTGCATTTGTAGCAAAATCCTAATACAGAGTAGAAGTCCGGTGGATGAAAAACTAACTAGCATCTGGAAGATGAAACAGTGTCATTTTTACAATAGCAGAAAAATCTGGTTTGCTTCAAACACATTTGCATTTTCACAAAAGTTAGAAAAATGAAAGATTTGTGGAAAAGCAATGACTTTAGCCATTAAAAATGAAGCAGCCAGAAATCCTTGTAATAAAGTCAACAAGTGACGTTGAGATACCAATGCAAACAACAGTTCTGTTTAACACTGGATAGCTATGTTGGGTTTGCGTGGCAAGGTTTTGGTAGCGGGGAGGGCTACAGGGGTGGCTTCTGTGAGAAGCTGCTAGAAGCTTCCCCTGTGTCTGACAGAGCCAATGCCAGCCGGCTCCAAGATGGACCCACCGCTGGCCAAGGCCAAGCCAATCAGCACCTCTGTGATAACATATTTAAGAAGGGGAAAAAAACAGTTGGGGGAAGCTTTTTCAGCCGGAGAGGGGAGTGAGATGATGTAAGAAACTTTGCAGACACCAAGGTCA